AGCAATAGAAATAGGATTAGATAGAAGAGATAGATCACCAGAAAAGGATGTGTTAACTACTTTTTGAACGTATATTCTATAATAGTCGAAATTTAATCAACAATTAAAAAAATCTTCATCCCAGAAAGGTTCTAATAGTAGTCTTCTGTAATTGGCCCTTCTGTAATAGATGCCTTATGACTTCGAGGTAAGACTTATGCTTTAGTATCACAGAGACAACAATCGGGTAATGATAACATTATTACGGTCCCGTACTGTGATTGTACTATAGTTTTAATCCTGCTTTCGGTACAGTTAGACTAGTGCGTGAGGCCACACGTATCAAGCATAAGGTAAACCCTGTCGTCAACGAAATACTAATCTTGGGCCGAATCAGCCGAAAAGCCGCGTTTTGAGCATATAAACCCAGATCACGGTTGAGGAACTTACAGGAAACGACTTTGATTGAATAGGTCAATAGGAACCCTTGGATATAGTGTCTCAAGATTTATGTACTAAACTGGAAACATCTGAACCTTGGTCCAAAATGATCATACAGCTTCCCCAAGCGACGCAGGTCTTTTTTCGCTTAATTAACGCAATTTTTTCTGGAAAGTTTAAATATTTGAGTATCGGCATATAAATGCCATCGAGTTTTACATCATCCAGGATCTATGTTAATTATAAAAACAATAATTTCTTAGGGCCGGTCATTTTGACCACGTACTGTAGTAATAGATATACAAGTATTGGGAGGCTTAATGTTAGAATGGCTATCAATATTTTCAACGCAGCAAGCGTCATTCACGAGGCTGTTCTATCGTAAACCCGTACCAGCTGCCTTGGTGACCTTTATCGCATAGCTACTTTACCCTGCCGACTAAACAGATATTCACAGACACGGCGATCTTTAAAGCTAAATTTTACTTTTATTCTGCCACACAATGGCAGTAGCATCAATGGCTAAGTATCGCAGATTCACAACCAGCCAATCGACGGGTTAGCTGGGACGAAAACCTGTGCCTGTACTGACAACGGCCTGCGACCCGGGCAAGCAGATGATAAAGATAGTCTCGCGTGAGTCAGCCATCCGGCATCGCCACCCCTATAGCTAGGTTTTCTAAATTCGTTTGGTTGTCCGCTGCCTACTGCTTAACCGCCCGCTCAATCTACCATATGACATATAGTCCAGGTAATACTAGGCTACAAAGTGCGCAAACAGGCAGTCACTATCTACTTCCGCAGCCCTCCTCTCGCTCTCCACCTTTTACCTTTACTTGGCCTTTCGCATTTGTTATCACTCGGGCATTATTTTTCCTACTCCTAATTGCAGCTGCCATCTGCCGGTTGTTTCCGCTATCTGATTTGGTACGCACGATTCATATACGATGACCATGTGCTTATGTGCCGATAGTAGCTTACGTCGACAATATGACCGCTGTGACGAACCCGTACATTCTGCTAGCCAACGCAGTAATGAAAACCGCTGAAATTTCTGTTTATGCCTATCTGAATGCATATACATATGTGCTACCGGCAAAAATATTCGCTTTCCTCTATTTAGTACAAGTGTGAACATCATGTCCAGTAGCATATCAGACAAATACGTTCGTCATGTTGGCGGACCCCGTATCGCTGAGTTCGTTCGTTGTCACCGTCAATTCTAAAGGCAAGAAGCCAATATAATAGGACCAGCGGCCGGTTTGGATGATTTCGGAAGGGTCAATAGCGGTAGTGTACAAAACAGCGAACCGCTTGGTCTTACGGGAAAGCAATATTGTAAGCGTCTATCTAAGTGCGTCGTTCATAGAGTAGGCAAACGAGTTTGGTTTTGGACGGGGCTCAATCCGTCTTAGTTTTGTTGGTCTTTAACCGTTGGATGTTTTAAAAATGGCGTCACTTCGATGAGCGAGATATGCGAGCAAAACTATAAATGGTGTCTATATCGGCAATGGTTGTTGATAGAGGATTGACTTATTAATATTATTATTTTGATATTCAATTCAAAATATCACACCACAATATTTGACTGACCTATACTTTCCATTCCGCAAGAGACGTCAAAAGGGTACGATGACCCGCTATTTGGGGCTTGGTTCTGAGGAGCTTTATTAACAGCTAGCTAGACGGCTGACATGAAATGTCCTTGTAAATATAGGGTTAAACAACTTTATGGTTTAACGTAGTCGTTCAGGTAAGTCCTGCACGTAATTCGCCCATTTTCCTCCAAATCTACGTCTCGTACGGGACAGCTGAGGTGTTTCGAAAGTAGCATTGCCATCTTCTTTATAAGGCTGGCGCTGTGCTAAATTTTCTCCCTTTTTCTACTGTGGAAAACTAGCAGTATCGTTTTGGCTGGTCTCTACGCGGTGGGCTATGCGAAGTTCTTTTCAGTACGTCACCAATGTAGAATAATACTTCTGTCACTTGCATCCTGCACAGTTCCCAACAAACAACTCCAGTTATCAGCCCTTCTATGCAGGCAAACGGTAGTCAATAGGCAGCAGCACTTACAGAGAATATGTGTAACCGTTTCCCGATCGATAACACGTGCCATACATATATACACATATATACATACACAAACTGTATCGAAGAATAATGCAGGAGTAGCGACAATTGTGATAAAAGATCGGTCTCCAATCTACCGAGATAAGCAATGACTTCGCTATCGACCTTCAGCCGTTATCGAAGAAACCATCGTCCAAAGCTGTTCTGTCATAAAGCTGACTGCACAAACCTAACAGCCACACTGAGAAATAAGCTGAATGAGGATATGAGTTGGACACAACACGGCAATAAAGACAGCTGACGGGACGGCTGGTTGGACGGAACGGCGGTGGTAAGCCACAAGCCGCACTGCAGTGTTCGACATCGATGCGATACGCGCAACGTCAGAATTAGCAGTAACAGCAACAGCACCAGGAACAACAGGAAGACACTTCCCTCCCTTATCGAATCTGTAAACCGTAGAATTTGACGAATACGTCGTTACTACCATGTACACCGCAGCGCCACTGCTTTGGGCAGTACAGCTGGAAGTACACGAGCTTCCGACATTCATAGCACGCGAAATGCTAGTAGTGGCTACTGCAGAACGAGGAAAAATCAAGATAATCAATAGCTCCTTGCCACTGGGGTAACAGAATGCTGCACCCGCCCCTTTCCGTTACGGCGGCAACTAAATGGGAACGAAATAGGAGAACGATGATTTGCCCTTCCTGGGCTGGTTGTTCCACTCGTCAAGGAGATATATCAGGAAGCTGAGCGCACCATGTGTGTGTGTGTGTGTGTGATAAAGATCAAAATAGAGATGAGTGAAACATACGATCAACGGGATAAACTACGGGTGGTTTTTTCATTTTTGTTAGGAATGACATGAAGGGCAGGAAGCAGTGATGGAAAACGCTAGCCGAACATCCTCCGCTGACGCTTGTATTGCCGACGGAGATCTATCCAATTGTCACGCGTGACTCTCTTTTATCGTTGTAGAGGGCTGCGTGCAGCAAGTGCGCCTGCTATAGACGGACGGAATTGTGTCCTGTTTGAGCTTAGCAGGAAGTCGGGTTCCACCTAGACCGTTAATACGTTGTAATGAGCATCCGACCGTGATGCTAATGATGCCTACGAGCATCTATGAATCCGACAGTAAAGGCAGCTAAGAACTTGTTGGCAATGTTGTTCCTGTTGATGTTATTGCTGTTACCTGTGGACGATTTATATTTACCGCGAAACTCGCAAAACGTCGTCAATAAACACCTCAGGAAAATGAGGGGGTAAAGCAGTGCTATTGAGTGCATGCGGCCGCCAGTTTGTATGCAGTAATCAATGGAGTATTGCATGTGCACGAGTAAGAGTCGTATTGGGTTGTAATTAACAAGGAGGATATGGCTGGGCCGAAACAGTCCACGCTAACTGGTTATATCAGCATAATACTGCGCGTGAACGTACATTGGCGCTGTATGAGCTTCTACAAAATATTTTGACTTTTACGTATGATGCTGTTGCTGCTGGTCTTATTGTTACTGAATATGACAGGGTTATACCAGGACAAGTCGAAGTGTGTCCATGTCTAGTATCCAAGCAAGATTAGTTTACGTGTGTAAGCTTTGACACTAAGACAACCTAAGACAAACCTCTACCGCATGATTACGTGGAAATTTGGAAGAATTCTATATGCTATCGGATAGCCTAGGCCTGGCGGAATCCTGCGATTATGACGCCAGGTCGAGTTTACGTGAAATGTCATTTGTCTATCGAATTGGATAAAATGGCATACGAAGACTGGCGGATACTAGGAAAGTATGGACATTCTTTCCATACGCGTTTTGCTGGTGTATCGCCACCGGTGTTAACTGATATAGCAAAACTAGAAGAGATGCTGAAACGCGGTATGTAATCCCAATGAGCTCGTTTGGCTCAATGGCATATTACAACCAAGATTCTCACAGAGACAATCGAGACGATGGACTTTGTACTTCGGTCGTGAAACTGGCCGTCATATAATTCTGTTACTATGCGATAAAATTTGATACACGTCACCAGGCGTAGAAAAACGGATAAATACGAGTGAAACTCAATGGATGCAAAGTGGCCCTGTAAATATCTACGTATCGGCAAGCTTCAACGAAGCGCTCTTCTTTATTAATTAAAAGATCGTATTTTTTTTGTAATCATTCGAATAAAATCTCCTGTATTTGTCCATGAATAAATTGCTCGTCAATTCTGAGCTCAGGACATAAGTTCATGTACTTTCAAAATAAGGTACATGCTATGTATGAAGTTACACCAAGGGCTGTCGGCAAAATGGAACGCTTTATTATTTATAACTTATTTCTCTGGCTAGTTTCTTAGATGCATTTTGTATTGCAAGCATTCGCTTCGAACAATCAGAATCGATTTCAGCTGATTTTGATAAATAGTGGCAATAATTTAACCTTAGATTGAGCCTATAAATACTCTAAGGTTATAGGTCTGTGTTTCGTAAAAAAAAATAAGCTTACACATGTGACATACCGGAACGCTGTAGCAGGGCATTACGCCCACGGAGCTATGACCTAATGTGAATGCATTACGAATACAAACTTTATATTCATTATATCCGTATGGGAAAAGTGCTGAGTATAACAGCCTTGACGTAATTCGAAGGTATCCAAGGAGCATTTCGCTTGCATGGCCAGGTATCCACACACATAGATCACGTAGGAAGAAGGAGCTAGGTAAAATGTGTACGCGTCCCCAAATGGTTTACATGACTCTCATATAGGCACATGGAAACCCTAGCAAAAGTATAATTAAGCAACACATTCACATCATGATTATCTTCGCAAAACACTACTAATACACTGCATGTGATGGACCATAACTGCATCGATATAAGACTGCGTAGGTTCTTCAGAGACGGATGCGCGCCCCCAACAAATGTCACCCAAATCAACTTGATCCTTTCGAAAAGACACACACAGCGTTGATCACTTGGCAAGTTCCGAGCGTACGGTGAAGCGTTGAGTCGTAACTCATTCACACCGGTACCAGCTGGTAACTCCAGTTGGAACACTAGCCCATAAAAGACCCTTCGGAGCTAACTCTGAGAAATCGACGATGAACCAGCACTTCCATCAGGAAAAACAACCACGACAGAGGTTAAAAGAAGTATTGCGTTGTTCCATTCCTGAGTACTCGCAGTTTTCGCCGTTTAGCCGTTTACTTATAACTGCATATAGAAAAGTTCCTATGATTGCGCCGGGGACACGGGAAACACAATAGCCATAAACATAACACTTGTAGGTCTGCACCAGGTGCCCAGAGGACTGAACTACGGAACATTTTCTTGGCTGAATCACCAGTTACGTTTCACCTTTGGCGGCAAACCGCTTTTCTACCGCATCGATATCAGTAAGAGACTATGACGACCGTGCTCATTATTGGCCAACGATCGCTACGATTGCCTGATCTCTAGACTGCGTAGACGCTAGGACAGGTGAAACGATTCGCGTCTTGTGGCGTTTCACCGACGGTAAGCGGCGGCAACGAATAGACAAGCAAACGTCGTTCATGTCCATAGGCCGTGCGCGACTCTCAGTGGGCAAGAGTGTTGAACTGCTCCTGTAGCCGCTGATTCTGCTACCGTTAGTGTAGTAGTGAGCCACAACGGCAAACGCTGTTTGAAGGAAGGAACTGTCATGCCGCTCACGGAGAAGGGACTGCGACAATGCAACGTACCGTGAGTACACAGCAGCAGCGTCTGTCAGCGGAACACGAACGAACGAGCAGTATTCTACTGAAAAGTGGCGGTCGACGATGCAAAAAAAACAGTGTTATAAGTGTCTCTGCGTGCGCTGTGGCCACAATGCAATTTTCTATAGTAACAACAACGATGATGACGACGAAGATGACAACCCCTTAACATCAGCAAGATTAGCAACAATAACAATGGCGTAAAAAGCGTGCGATATTTAACGTTAAAAAGAACAAAGAAGAACCTGGTTTTTTTTTTTCTAGGCAGAGTAGGTTGAAAAGACATATCTTGTTTCTCTTGCTGAAGAAGCAAGTAGATGGATGTATGTTGGACTATAGTTCAGCCGGTGTCGGAAACCGGGTAGACAAGGGATAGGAAACGAACGTTTAGAAATCACTGAGTTGCGCATTTAGTGTTTGTTCGTGTACTCTTGCCTCATGTTTCGCGACACTGCCCTTCTTTTATATATACGATTCGACCGCTACTGGAAAGCTATTGACTGAAACTGCTTTTTCTAACAGCACTAATCGGGCGGCCCTGTTATACTGTGAACTGCTGGATATCTCGTGCCGCTTTTGAGAGTCATCTGGCAATTTTTCCATGAAAACTAAGCCCAGTTGAAGAGATAACGTCAACTTACCAAACGTGCCTATGTATACTGACAAAAACACGTAAAAGGCATTTTCGTTTTAACAAATACTCTCTGCAGAGTAAGTAGTTCCTATTTCTAGAAAAAAAAAAAAAAAAAAGGCCTTTTCTGGAGTTCTGCGCACCAGCGGTAATCGTTAAATAACTACATTTAAAAATGGAACCGTTGACTTTTGTTGATGTTTATCTATAGCCGTTATCGTTCCAACGAGCAGTACGCTCTCATATGAAAAACTTAAATTGAATAATATCAATGTTGTGTACTAATGCCTTAACATTAGCTATCAAAATATTCAAGCGGTCGAGCTCCGGCAAGATAACGAAAGCTAGATAACCTACATCAATAACAAAGCAGGTCATTCAAAGATGACACGTATATAGTATAAACAAATAATCATCTAAGATTGCGCTATGATCACGAAGGGGTCTCGTGGTATTCGTTGACGATAGCAGATCGCCGTTTGAGCGACTACATTATAAGGGGGAGTTGCCTGATCTTCGTTTCGGTTAATATTAGTGTGACGAAGGCTTCAGGCCTCGTCAAGCATTGTCTCTCTCTCTCTCTCTCTCGTGAACGTTCTCAATGTCATTTTGATATAATCATACATTTCTGTCTCTCTGTTTGACTTCTATACCCACCAATTTCCAATAGCAGAACTGTGCCAGAAGTCTCAGGTGATTCAGTTATCTATATCTGAGTCAGAGCGGATCGTAGACGAGATTTAGATAACCGTCTAATTGCATAAAATCAAAAAGAGCCAGGTACGTATAATATCAAAGCACAGTTTGAACATAGACATCAGCATCACTCTCGCTCGTCTAAAATTAAATGTGTCAAGTTTTCCATCTGGCGCAGTCGTGCAGGTGTTCTCAGGAACGTTCTCATAAATGAGGACAGCGAGGAGCTTATTTTCACATCATTAAACCGCTTTTTATAATAGCTAAATGATTTTCGTAAAGTAAAAACGTAGCTGACGCCCTCAAAAGACACGATCAATTGTTAACTGTGAATCGCACCAAAAAAAGGGCTATATTAGTAGGTGCCTGTAAACTGTAGTGTGATTTGTGAACCACCTAAGGTCTAACCATATCAACTTGAGAGCAACGAATTCCGCTCAAGGTCTCTCTGATGAGTCACGAGCCGGCTATGTATTTTCAGGTAGCCCGTTTTTCACTGCTCGGATACGCGCTCCCGCAGCAGCTATCAAAAAAAGGTACAGAAGTAACTTAAGCTACTAAAAAATGGCGACAAGTTTCGAAAATAATAAGACTCCAAATATAGACGGAAGCTTCCCCGTCTGTTTCTCCTCTGCCTTCCACCGTACGCGTGAAAAATGGTAAGGCTAGCAGTATAATTTAAACAAGTTGTATAAACAACCTGATGCACTCGTTCGAAACTAAATACTACGTCATTAGAGAGGGATATCGAACTACACATGGATAAATGTGTCCGAGGTCGTTTGAATAGTAAAACATCAGTATGTCTGAGATATGTTGAGCCATTTACATACGAAAATTCAGTCGAATTTTGGCTCGGTAAACACATAAGTCGACGGGATTCAAGTCAGCGGACGGTAAGGTACCCGCCGCGGAAAGATGTTTACAATGACAGTATATGATTGCAGACATGTGGCCTCTTTTCAGCGTCTCAACGTCTCAACATTTGCAGCTAAAGTCCCCGGAGGGGACCCTGTCGAGATGCGGATTTCGTTGCTGTCGTGTGTGCACGTTTCTGCCGCTGGACAAGCCGATCATCAACCTGCATATATAACAGGAGCGCGTGGACAGGGCCGCCCTGTTGGCCTACGTCAGATAAACGCACATGGATCGAAACTAGGCCCCATGGCAGAATGGACAAGAATTACTAGCGTTGATAAAATATCAAACGTATCATGTGTGTTTTTTTTTATATATTTTTTTGAGCTAATAGCTATTTTATCCAGTGTGGATATACGAGTCTTCCGATTTAATCAATAGTATAAATATATATAATTTTCAAGGCGGCCAAAATACTGTTACGTGTGTAATAAGAATAATGGCAACACGAGTGATCTAGCTATTACGAGTATTCAAAATTTTTATAGATAACCGCTCGTTTTGGTTAAGGGTAATTCCTATGGACTGCTATCTGGAATCATTTGAATAAGAATATATGACCAGAAAGGCACCTTATTTTGGTCAGTCTGAGTCGATGCATCCAGTCGCGCAAACAGCGAGTTATAGTAAGGCCGTTACTAACTACCCTGTTAAGGCCGTTACTACCGCTCATTGGAAAATATCCGTCTGATATTGTTACTGCTATGGCCTGCATTAATACTATTGTCTGATTATGCCATATTGCTCGCCGTTCTATTATGTGGAATGCTGAACAGCTTGCTCAGTCGTTTGGTTTATGTCCTGACTAAGCAATGGTAAGACAGGGTCACTGGGGCCCGCTTTAATTCACGTTTTGCTAAATCAGCAAACGGTACAAAAGGAGCCTTGTGAGGTCTTACAAGAGCAAACGATACTTACCGACGGCCTTCGAGATTCAGGCAATACAGAAAATTTCACTTGTTTTTTTACTTCTACCTTCCCCTCTTCAATGAGGACCATATTAGCCGCTAACAAGGTTAAATAGGTCATAGGTGCTTTTACCTCAACGTTGTCGCAATCAATGAGTGAACATTTCAATGAACAGTTAGTAAATCTTCTTCTTACTATGCCCCGCTCGAATCCTATTTGCCCTGTTGATAGGTCAGTAGAATTCCTTACGTATTAGAATTAGTCAATATTTACAAAGCAAATTCAATATTTTGGTCGAGCGCGAAACAAAGCCCAGGGCTATAAAATGGTAAAGACGCTTTGCAGCTAACAAGAACCTGCGGTTGATCATAAAGGTGAACTATAGCATTGTGATCTAATAACGGTGAATTATATGTATAATTTTTTGTTCATTTTTAAGAAGTTGTAATGTTAAAGTGTGTGAACGGTTCTATGCGATTGTACTTGGTACCAAAATTTCGAAATCGTCGACGGTACTGATTCCATCTTTTCAGATTTGAACAACTTACCTTATTTATGATTGATGACATATTAGAATCTAAGGTCAGCTTCATTATAACACATCGTAAATCTCACGTAAAAGAGGACGCAGACACGAAGGACAATTTTTTTATTGTTACTTAGCGAAAAGATATTATCTTCAATAGTTTGCTGCCTAAAGGGGGGGGGGGGGGTTTGACGATCACGAATCCTTCTTTTTAGTAGTGTAATAGTTTCTGCAATAAAATTTACTTTCTTTGAATGATAAATAAAGTGTCTCTATAACATATATATGTAGCCTGATATATATGTTTACCATCTTATTAAGACTATCTTAGGGTGGGTCTTTTAAAATGTGCATATTATATATAACTATTATTCAGAAACGATTATGACACTTACATTAAGTACATCGTCGAGTCGTCTGTGACGCTGATCGGTGTGAGCGACAAGAAGATCCCATTTTTCGGTTAATTTGGTCACATCTCTGCGAACTGATCGAGCTAATTCATGAGAGTCTTCGCTGCTGCCTACGGTAGTGCCATTCGGCCCGACTTCATTAGCGAGTAGGTCGCTACCAGGCCCTCCACGAGCGCCTCCATTGCTCGAACGACGCTCCCCAAATTCTAAAAGTGACGTAAATCATTAATTGAAAATAATGAAGGAACAATTGGGAAAGCACACAGATTGTGATTAGGGTACATTGAGAGGTATACCTATGATTAGTGCTATGATGATCATCTATGTTTGTCCATTGTGTTTCACTAATGCAGCGATTGATGGCACACTAGCTCGTAACTCTAAAATGAAATTATTTCTATTTCAATAGACAAAAACACAATACGATCGACAGCTCCTATTTTGATTTCGTGCTGAGTTTCATTTCCGTATGATTGCTAGAGATACTGCTACAAAGCTAAAGTCGGTAAAATCAGGACTAAATCGAATAGTTTTATAAAGCGAGTGTCTTGTCCTTATTAGCAAACGCTTTTTTTTTATAATAGGAGAAGGTGTTTTTTTTCGTTCTACAATACGTCACGCTACTTACGGTCAGGTGGCGTCATGTCGGCGCCCTCCCTTTGCAAAAAGTTCCGTCCTGCAAGCAGGGCGCTCTCAATGATCGGCCGTTTGTCGTCGAGCTGCACGCGGAATCCACGGTGGTCGTCCTGTTGCCTCATGATCGTTGCCACATCACCCCCTGCAGGGTAACGAAGCCGCCCAAAGAGGTATCGGAAGTCGTGGAAACCCATGTATATTAGAAAGACAGCACGCATACGAAAAAAAAAGAATACACTTTTAATTTCATATGACCATTTTATCTTTATATGTATATAGTGTCTCTGTATGTTATGTGCTCCCAACAAGAACTTAGCTAGCAACAACAGAATAGCAAATAGCAAACATTAGATTGCTTATGCTTTCCCATAGGATTAAAAAAATCGGTAAAAATTGCATCTTTGAGTATAAATTGCTTGTATCCAGATAATTAAATGACTTCAATGAGTCTGGAGGCGTCAAATAATTTTTCTCTTACGTGATACGAATTTAATATATATTTCTCACAGAAGAAAAACGAGTACGTACCGATTTGCGGCTGGGCTCCCAATTCCGTCTCCTTTTTGACTACCCACTCGACAAGTTCTCGTAGACTCAGCATTAACTGGTGCCAGTGGTCTGCGCCATTCTCTAAGCGCGTCCTAAAGCGGAAAAAAAGCACGCGACATCCGCAAAGGATGCGAAAGCCATCATAAAAAGTCGGAGTAGCAACGGTGTCCACATACCCCATAACAAAAGTGTAAAACATCACCAGAACAAAAGCGGCAGACGAAGAGGCAAAAAGGTTAAAAATAAAGTACGTCTTTTAGTTAATTCGAACTTAATTTACTGCGTCACTGCTTTCGAGGGAAAAATGAAGTAGATCCTAGAATCGGGTGAGTACTTAACTCTAATAATTATACCTAAGTAATTACGTCAAATACTCTTCAGTACGAACTTCGTCTCTCTGGCATGCCTTTCTCACGGACTTCGGCCGAAGCATATTTGGAAACTTTGGTGCCGTCACAACATTGCCTTGAAGATAAGGATTGAGCCATTTTTTTTTTTTATAAACATATGATACCTTGTTATTCGGGTCTTTATTCTGCTATCATTTCAATGAGTCGTTATTGTACGATATTAAACTAGACCATCAAAAAAATAGCTAAAAATGTTGGGTTTGAACTCAAAAAGAAGAAACAGGTTATCGCAGTACTGACCTGATGGAGACAATCCGTAATCGTAAGTTATCCCACCTGGCGTTCATTTCGTCTACCCGGCTTTTGAGAAGTAGCGCCTCCTCTGACGGTGCCGTGACCCCCTGAATAAGACTTTGGCCACGGTCGCTGATCGTTAGATGCAAATCCCGTTGGCTGTCAATTTCGCGCTGCAGCTCCTACAGGTGCAAGTCGATTTGAATGAAAAACGAGTACGTGAGAGTGGTTCATAGAAAAACGATGGCAAAATCTAAATTTCCTTTAGAAAGTACTGGGTATTGCCACTGTCAGCTAGGCAGATCCGAACAGATAACGTTAGTCGTGAAAATTAAAAAAAAAATCCCATATTATACTAAAAAAGCCTGATATACTACTAAACACCATCAACTGCATACAACATCATTTTTAATGATGATTATTTGGTACGATTCAAACAAAATTTTGTTCTAAAACAAGGTCTCTTTAGTGCTCGCCGGAGTCATTGTTTAGCTGACTGAACATACATCACTGTTTTTGCTTCACTGCCCTGCTCTTCTAAAATACAAATGTCAATATGCCCGTAGAGGCGAGAGGCGGGGTGGGGCAGGTTTAACAAGAAAAGAACGTAACTTATTTTACTGAATGTGATTCTACCTCGACAAAATTTCCTAAGACAAAAATACTAGTCCGCAGATGAATGACTCCGCGGCCTTGCCGCTTATCGCAATATGACCTCGACTCTTTTCTCATACCCTGTACATATATATATATATATAATAAATGCCTACGACCGACAATGTATGGTTTCGGCTCTATAACGACCCCTAAATTGAACTGATACAGCCTTAAGTCGTACTAGTTGGACGTAGTATTTTGCACTCAGGATAATATTTATTAATTCGACGAAAAGTATAGCATTGTTGACTTTACTATGTTCTGAATAGTTTGAGACAATAATTGGTGAACCAGCCAGCTGATTAGAGTCAAACTCTCATGCAATCGATTAAACTAGAGAGTGCCGGTTATGGGTTGAAAATAGCCTTATTTGATTTTAAGGCCCGATAAAATTGTCTTTTTTTAGTCCGTTCTATTTCGCCATACTAAATCAATGAGTCCCGTGCATGTCCACCACAGAGAAAGATTTATGTTTTCTCACAATAGGGCCTGAGAAGGCCCCCGTACCCATTATCGAGAACAAAAAAAGTAACAAGAATATGACAAAGACAAGCGAACTTGGTCCTATCAAATCAAAACCTTTTGACGCGCATAACACTATCTTTACTCAGTAACTTTTTTCGGCTCACATAAAATATGCATCGATTGTCTATATGCAGCTAATGTTTGCCCGTTAGAAGGTGGTTGTAAACAACGCGGGTAGATGTTAGCGTGGGCTCATGGTTTGTCCACAAAGCCATAGACGATAGCACAAAGAACTTGTGTTCCACTTATTATTATATATATCCACGATTATATAATAGATGACAGAATCCAGAATTCGATTGGTTCAGTTATATTGTGTACCGAACGCTCGAGGGAGATGGACAAAAAGTCGTCGCTCATTGAGCAGTCTCGTTTTCTCGAGCAATTACGTCCTCAGGCTACGTTATATACATGTATTCATTTGGCCATAGACATATGGTTGGGCGTGCACGTAGTTATAAGCGATTTTTGCCACTGTAACGAGCTGCGTTGTGGCCTACGCAACATACTGGTCTATTTCGCTCGCTTATGCGAGCCTAATTTGTTCGGACTGGGCCTAGCCTTCCACCACTTCCCTCCTCCAAAGCTAAGCCAACGGTGTCCACGGTTTACCTTAAACCTGTGTGTTCTGCGCTATTTTCTTTCGTTCGAATGCGCTACCGCTAGGGGCAGGTAACGTTTACGCAGTTGAAGTGGATACTGCAACGAGCGCCGAACGGAAGCAGCATTCGTTCCGCAACCTTCGGTGGTAGGAAGAACCAATCAAATTCTGCCATAAAGCGGTCCGCGCTGCCATGCCTTCACCATCGCACCCATCGCTACCGTTATTTTTACGACCAATCCTACAACGACTAACTCGAAAGAGGGCGCTGACGTCGGTAGGTGAGCCAGAAATTACAGGTAGAAAGGCTGGTAAAGTCAGGAGGGCTTCTAGTAAAGGGCAGTTTGCCCAACGGTAGGGCCTACCAGACCACGTAGCGGCTAACGTTTACGCAACCACAATGCTTTTCGATGCCCATCATAGCGGAAGGATCCTGCTGCGATCGACGGTTTTCTTATAGTCGGATACTCTTACGGGCTCGCCCCGATGGACGTCTATTACGGGCACATCCGCTGGATGGACTGGTGCCGTTTCTCCTCCGTACAACACTGCGTTAACATTTCGGTTGGGGCAACTTTGCGACGGCATTGGGCAATCTGCAGACACATCAGGCAATCACTTTGTCACCCCATATCCGTCTAACCGTCCTGTATATTTGTACGATTATAGTATGGTCGAGGTGGTAAGAGAGACGGGTTAGTTTGCGGACGAATCTTCAAATATGGAGGATCAGTACAACACACATGAAAGGAACTGCGTGGCCTCGATATGGCATGAGAAGGTCTCCTACAGAAGTCTCCGATGAAGGACAGCTATTTTTGTCATTGAAATTAAACGCATTGCAGATGCGTACGGCACGTCTACAAAATCATCAATGTGCAGATCGCACAAAAATACGCCAGCCTTCTACTAGCAGATATTAGAGAGCGACCTAGAGTAGGACAATACCCCGAGATGTCGGGTCGGAATAAAGAAAAAAGGAATATCTTTTCGCCAATTGCGTTTCGCTTCGAACGACCTGAAACAGACGATATGCGGTGACTGTCTTCACCTGCTCGTGTAGTGAGCTCCTCATTTTTTCGTTCGCTTTACGCTTGCTTTATAGTGCTACCATTCATATTCAAGTGAAGGTAATAACAACTAAAGGACCCGGTATACTTGTTTCTCGGCGGCGGTCTAAAATCTGTCGCACCGGCAACCCTGGCTGCAGCTTTTCGTAAAGACGTACGCGAAAGAAAGGCCCCCGGAACAGACCTTTCTGTTTAAAATATAAAAGGGAATGCTCCACTTTACTGTCGTATATGTGCATGTACAGTGGACTGCAATGCAAAAAACTACCGTAACAGTAGGTACAAGGTTCATATTGAGATAATACGGAGTCCCCCTTCCAATATGAACAACACTAGATAACATATGATTTATACTCACTGCATTTGCAATGTGCTTCAGGACAAAAAGTTTTCTTTTTATGGAACCTTTATTTAGGTCATATTGGTCTATTCCACTACGTATCGCTACAGAAAGCAGGTTCATGCTGGTATACCTTCGTTGTGCGACATTTACCGACACAGGGACGCGCCTTGTCTGTTTCTTGAACCTCCTGCTAGGAAACTTTTCACTGGCGACGAAACTCCTCAATAGAAATTTACCCGCCTAGCGACCAGCACCCTTCTTTACGTTCCGGTTATGAAAACTTTCAGGCTGCTATCCGTTGCCATTCTAAAATGCTATCTTTATATGCCAATTGTGCAAATATGCATACGTATAGGTGATTACACAATTAACGCCGACCGTCGTTGAGGGTGGGTGAGTAAACTGGACGTCGGCCTTTCACCCTGACGAAGCCCTTTTTTAAGTTGGTCTGTTTATTTTTTCCTCACAAAAGTAGCTCTAGCCTACAATACCAACTCTGGTGTTCCTTGAAACGTTTTGAACATTTAAAAATAGTGTCGATTTCTGATCGGCGGAAATTTGCCGACTAATTCATTACGACGATAGTGACTCATATTTTTCAACCACCAGTAACTGATATTAGTTATATTCTACTAACCAGGACGCAAGAACCATACAACTGGATACTCTATTATACATAGAACGTTTTATACCTTGCCATATTTACAAACGTATGACAAGGTGTAAAAAGTCTGCGCATTTCCAATTCATATTAAATTCGTGGCGTCTGCAAACAGGCAAAAAAAAAGGCGGATCTTCTGGTCGGCAAGACGAACTCACAGGGAGCTTCACCGGTGTGAGTCAGCATATGTGTACCAGTCTGGCAAAAACGCATGAAATGGGGGCACACACGCAGATCTATTCGGTATCCAAATTAAATATGCTAGCTATAATAAATTACTCTAGTTATCATGGTAGCTGTCTTCTCGATCGCGCTCCCAATACGAGCTTCATTTCGTTTCTCGTAACTGAACCGAATGGCCGGGAGCTGCATTTACCGCTATTATTCAAGCGGACAATTACGTCGCTGTCAATTCAAGCTAACACTATAGTCAACGGTGATGTCTTAATACCGTTTGTAAATCGTGGACGTTTTTCTGCTCAATTTAATAACATCTCTGTCTACCATTTAGCCGCTAACATGGCTATTGTCTCATGTGCTGTACATGACGCCTTCATCATGCACAGAATTCCCTTGTGTGTGCGCTAAATGCACATTACCGATGATTCGTTGTCTCCGCATAGATACACACAGTATAGTATAGATAATCTCGTTATCGCCAAAGTTAAGCTAGCGTCTAAAAGATTGACATTAAATAGCTATTTTTTTTCCCTTTGAGAGGTTTATTTGACAAGAACTGTTTGACGCTGAGGTGAATCATAATATAAAGTCGTTTTCGTTGCGTTTCGACGTTGACGTCTTTGTCCAGTGAAATGGTAGTCACACGTACAAAAAAATATGTGATAGCATGACATAATCCACGTCCAAGCAGTACGTTTTGATCTTTTGAAAAATTAGTTTTTAGGCTCGTTTAAACGTGACACGCTTTATTACCAGTTATCAGCTAAGTTATCCATGAATCTACTTCGATTACGAGAGGAGTACGACACACACTAACGGGTTAGCCGTAACCGTGAACGAATCCGTGTACAAATGCGAACCAAGAAAAAGGACGAGTAAAATATAATATATAGAAAAATATTTCTTCCTTTCTGTCAATTGGACACGCGGACGAGCGAGTATTGAAATAACTAATGAAACGAGAAGGGAGAAGGGGGCAGGGCGTGTCAAGTATGCGCATAAACGTTAATTTTCCTCTATTTTTTTTTGTCCACAAATGTTTTGCTTCGTTTTCAATACGAGTGCTAAATTAATATTTTTCTTTTCTACCGTCCCGTCACAAAATGCTCCCACAGCGACAGCATAAAGATAATTTTTTTTCAAAC